CGACCGGCTCATATCATCATTGGTGTCTTCACTTTCATTTTTATTAAAATTGTATCCAAATAAATCTGAAGACAAACGTTTCATCAAAAGTTGATCATTTTTGTCTGGAATAAATGAGTGATGACTTCGACAACCCTTTGTTTTATCTGCTGACCTAAATCTTTTTCAAGCATTCCTAGCAGATCTTTAATTTCTTTTTTGTCTACCCAAAAAAATTTAATACCATTTATTTTCGCATCAGCGTATGTGTAAAAATCTCTGGCGTTCAATATCTGATCTTTTGTTGATGCCTGCAAACTTGCTCTTGCAACCAATCTTTTTGTTGTCCCTCCAATTCCATCGCAAGGACTTTTACCATGAAAAGTTGCAAAAAAGTGCCATTCTGCTTTTAATCCAAAATCCTCTTTGTGATGAATTAAATTAGAAAAATTTTTGTATTGACTTACCGCACCATCAGAAAAATATTTAATTAAAGTAACGTTTTTCAGGTTTTGTTTTACATAGTTAATTAAATGTTTTTGAAAAGCATAAACAGCGGAAACATTGTGATCGAGACAGTCGCTAATCATGCAAACGCTTTTGACAGATAAGTTTTCATAAATAAATAAATAAGTTTTCTGTAATAAAGAACAATTGGGTGAAGAGTAACTTGCGTGTTGCTCCAATGTTGACTCTGGATTGCATCCTGTATTATCACCAAATAATTTTCAGCAAAATCCATTAAAGCAATACACTCCGAACTTTTTAAATTTTTTTAGAATCGCCAAGATATTTCAATTGTTCTTTGCTTATGTAATGATGCGATGACAACTCGTCAAGTTTTTGCGAAAATCTTTCAATGAAACTGTCAACTGTATCCTGTACGAAAATCAATGAACTGCGATTATCATCATGGGAAATTACAGCTTCTTCGAAAATCGCTCTTAAGTTATTTTCGACACTCAGTTTTCCTGGGCATTCCTCACATCTGTGTAACATACATTCTAAATTTTAAATTTTAAATTGAAAAAAATAAAAAATATTGACACTTGAAAAAAATAAAAAATATTGACACTTCAAAAACAGGCAAAACAAAAAATTTGTTTTGCCTGTTTTTGAAGTTGTTTTATTTTTCAAAGAAAGCAAACGCCAATTTTATTTTTTGATATGTTGTTAAGCTATAAAAGCACTATATAAACAAATTTTAAAAATTAAAAAACGTTTGGTTCTTCATAGTTAAAAATGGCGCCAAACAAAAGAAGTTTTTCATTTTTTTGACATTTTGAGCTCCGATAGCTCAAAAAATTCAATACAGATTTTAACGAAATTTTGTGATTTATTTGTGACTATAAGGTACTTCTAAAATAACAAAAAATATTTATTTATTTTGCGATAGATTTTGAGCTACGCTGATTTGAAATCGGTGAAATTTTCAAAAAATTCATTTTTTTCTAGATTTTTTGTTCAAAATATCCTTTGA